GGGCTTGAACTCATGATCCCAAGATCAAGAGTTGCGTGTTCTACCAACTGAGCCAGCCAGGTGCTCCATATATTATTTAACATTTTCAAATGTTTTATTTATTTTTGAGAGAGAGCACGAGTCAGGGAGGGAGAGAGAGAGAGGGAGACACAGAATCTGAGGCAGGCTCCAGGCTCTGAGCTGTCAGCACAGAGCCTGACATGGAGCTCGAGCCCACAAACTGTGAGATCATGACCTGAGTTGAAGTGGGATGATACTTAACTGACTGAGGTGCCCAGTGTGCCCCCCTTTTAAAAAATTTTATTCAAGGGGTGCCTGGGTGGCTCAGTCGGTTAAGCGTCCGACTTCAGCTCAGGTGATGATCTCACAGTTCATGGGTTTGAGGCCCGTGTCGGGCTCTGTGCTGACAGCTAGCTCAGAGCCTGGAGCCTGTTTCAGAGTCTGTGTCTCCCTCTCTCTGACCTTCCCCTGCACACGCTGTCTCTCTCTGTCTTTCTCTCAGAAATAAATAAAACATTTAAAAATTAAAAAAAAAATTACTCAATAATTAAATCATATATCTCGTTAAATGACGAATCACTAAATTTTATTCCTGAAATCATTATTACACTATATGTTATGTAACTTGGATTTAAATTTTAAAAAAATCATATACTCCATAAGTAGCAAGTTGGGGAGGGGCGGGGTGGGGGGGGAGAGTGAATTTCTTTTATCAAAGAAACAGGTTGAATGAGGGCACTCCCTGGGTGTCCAATGAGGAGACAAGTTGGCTGTTATCCCCAGAACCCTCATGTTGTCCCGTTTCCTTCCCCCCCACCCCCCACACCCGTTGGAGGCCTTCACTCATCCCAGAGGCACTGCTGTGAGGCCCCACTGCGCCCTCTGGTGGGAGGAAAAATGCCTGCATAGAGAATATGCACCTACCAGAATCTTGGAGGTGAGCAGGGGTCCTACTCCCTCATTTGTAAAGTTTAAACTGGCTTCTAATTATCCAATAAATACTTCTTCACTATATAAAACTTTGGATAATATTTTAAAATTAGAGAAACAATGTCACGTATTCCATGACCAGGACATACTTTTAACATTACAGTATGTTCCCTTTGATTGTTTCCTTTTTATTTTCATCCATTCGTGAAATGCTATCCTGACTTTAAAAAAAATTTTTTTTAAACATTTATTTATTATTGTGAGACAGAGAGACACAGAGCATGAGCTGGGGAGGGGCAGAGAGAGCGGGAGACACAGAATCCGAAGCAGGCTCCAGGCTCTGAGCTGTCAGCACAGAGCCCGACACAGGGCTTGAACTCACAAACCTCAAGATCATGACCTGAGCTGAACCCGGACGCTTACCCCCCTGAGCCACCCAGGTCCCCTTATCCTGACTTTTTTCGCATTAACACAATACAACGAGAATTTTCCCAAATCATTGAAATTCTTCTGTAAGCACCATTTCTAATGGGCATGTGGTATTTCATGGTACACGTGCCTTGGAAGTGCCTAATGACAGTCCGGCCGCCCAGTCCAGATACAAATGAGGAGACACAGGGGCGCCTGGGTGGCTTAGTCGGTTAAGCGTCCGACTTTCACTTAGGTCATGATCTCGCGGTTCGTGGGTTCGAGCCCCGCATCGGGCTCTGTGCTGACTGCCAGCTCAGAGCTTGGAGCCTATTTCAGAGTCTGTGTCTCCCTCTCTCTCTGACCCTCCCCTGCTCACGCTGTCTCTCTCTCTCTCCTAGAAATAAATAAAAATATTAAAAAAAAAAACAAATGAGGAGACACAAATCAGATTTATGGCAAAATCATGGTGATAGTGGTACAAGATGATGAATACGCCAAAAACGAATTGTATACTTTAAATGGATGAGCGGTCACAGTGTGTGAATTCTATATCTCAATTATCAGGAGGAGGGGTACGCAGGTACATAGAAATACATGGGGATTCATAAGCATATTACCTCTACCTTTGTGTACACTTCGAATTTTCTAAAAGAAAACATTGGATACAGTATTTCCTAGATTTCTCAGAGGTGCGCACCTGAACGCTCTCTGGCCTCCCCCCGTCGGGGACTCAGGCAAGGCTCCCTGTCCCCTAGATGGGTTGGGGCAGGGCTGTTTCACGCACCACCCCGGCCACTGCAGGCTCCTTTCACCATCTTTGTGCTCCGTTGACCCCTCTGCCGCACTCGAGGTCTGACCGGCTAACCTCTGCCACTGCCTGGCCTCTGGGCCAACAGTGGGCCTCTGCCAGGGCTATGCCCCCCCTGCCCCTTCCTCCACGCCGCTGACCTCTCCCGTGCCCTCCCCTGCAGCCAGCGGGAGCCACCTTCCCGCTTGTCACTACCACCACCCTGTCAGATGCGGGGCCTACAGCAGAGGGGCCGGGACCCCAGGACCCAGCTCTTGCCTCTGCTTCTCAGTCCAACACAGACTCTCCCAGAGGGTGAAGCCCAGGCCCGGCTTCATACACCACCCAGACCCCCCCCCCCACTCACTTCCTCTCCCGCTTTTCTACTGACCCTCTCCCACCTCACTGTGCTTCCTGCCAGCCATCTTCCAGAAACCTCAGCCTAAGATCTAAGAAGTTGTGACGCTAAGCGAGGCTGAGTTCCTTCCTACGTGGCTCCTGAGCCCCAAGCAAACCGAGGGATACACGTATCTGGGCACCCATGTGGCACCAAACCCCAGGAGGTCTGCCAACCCTTAAAAAGCCCATGGAGAGACTCGGGGACATTTTGCAAAAGTTACGAAATGGGTCCAGCAAGTTAGGCCGTTCTGTCGGATGGCTCACAGCCGTGTGGCCCCTGACTCAGCCCAAATCCAGAGCTCGAGGGCTTCTGGGACGGAACCCGAAGGGTGGCGCGGGGGAGAGAGGACCGAGGAGGCGCGGAGAGGAGGAAGGGCGCTGCGGGACGCTCGCTGGGAGCGCAACTGCCGGCACTTGGGGACAAGGTGGATGTAATTAAGGGTGAAGGAGATTTCCAGGTGGAGGGGCCAGGTGAAAGGCGATTCCTCAGTGAGGACAGAAGATAAAAGAGGAGCAAATGCCAGCGGGATTGTGAAGCGGAAGGCCCCTGTCGAGAGCTGAGGTGAGAAACCACTGCGTCCAAGGCTCAGAGGTGTCCTTCAGGGACAGGGTGGCCACGTGGCCCGGTCCTGGTTTACGCTCTGCCCTCGAGTCTGGCTTACGCCCCTTGTCGCAGCTAGGACCTATTTCAGTCTCAAAAGTGTCCTCGTTTGGGTGACAAATTATATGGCCATCCTACTCAAGAGAGAGCCTGCAGGGTAGGGAAAAAGACCAGGGACTCGGGCTCTCTGCATTCACTTGCTTCTTTTGGCCTCCTCCGCCTGCCTCTGACACTTGGTTTTCTCCTTAGGCGCCTGCATGTCCCCCTTTCTCGATTTCCTCCTTCCCTTCCGCCATGTTTCTCGATCCCACGGCCCCAGGAAAGGGCTCCTCCCCACCGCCGGGGACCACCTGGGCTACCCCAGGTCACAGCTCCGTGGGGGCCGAAGGAAGAGCGAGCCGGGGGGACAGGGGACCTGGGGCGAGGCCGCCTGGCTGGGGCCGGGCGCTGGGCCCGCAGGGCTATGGGGTCAGCACCCGCAGGAGGCCTGTCCAGTCCGGCTTTGCTGTCTTGGAGCAGAGCATTCCGCCCTCCAGGGCTCCCTTTCCGGCCTCTGCAAAATACGGACATTGGACAAGTGATTGGACAAGGGATTGATCGTGAATCTTCGCAAGAAGTTGCGTTCCTCTTATCTGATGCCACTTTTCACGGTGGTCAGGTCACACGATGTGGGAGGTCAGTCACCTTGCGGAGACGGTTTGTGTGAACGTGTAGGGGGAGGGGTCTCCGGGGTGCAGAGGCTGAGAACTCGCGTCCATGGAGCCCTTCAAGGACCACCCTGGCGGCACGGCAGCCCCACACCAGCCCCTGATCACCCGCAGGAGGCGCGCAGACGCATGGAGGGCCAAGGCTGGGTGGCCCGGCTGAAGTCACCCGCTGAAGTCCCCGCGGCTTCTGAGAAGGGGGTTCCCAAGAGGAGCTTCGGAGCTGGAGCCAGGAGGTTGGAAGGAGGAGGTGACGACGGCAGAAAAGGAAGAACCTGCTCTCCGGCCCTTCGGTGCTTTTCGGGTGGAGCCCGAGAGAGAGGACTCCACCGCCGGTTACCGTCAGACGCTGTCTGCCCCTGCGCAGAACGGGAGCAGTCTACACCGTGTGTCTGTACTGGAGCTCTCTGGCCCACAGGACTCGGGAAAAGCGGTAAGAAGGTGCTGGGAACCTGGCAAGTGCTCTTTAGTTGGGGTTCAGGGGTGGAGTACCGGGGATGGCAGTGGGTTTCGAAGTCAAACCAAGATTCAAGGCCGAGCTGCGACTTGACCTCTCTGAGCCTCAGTTTGCTCATCAGTAAAATGGGGTTTATGAGGCGGCTTCGCCGGGCTGTGTGAAGCGGGAGGTCATAAATGGCCCTGGAGACCACGACTCTGGGCAGGAGCTTCAGGAAGCGGGGCAGGACCAGGGCAGGGCGGGCGGCGACTCCGGGAGGCCACCGCACGAGGGACTGAGGAGCGGCGCCGCCCCCGGCGGGGACAGGGGGTCCAGATGCCCCCGCCCGGGTCCAGGAGGCTGACCCCGCCCCCCCCCCGCCCCTCGCCTGGGAGATGCCGCCGCGCGTCCCCCGCCTCCCTCCCGGAGCGCGCCCCGGGTTCTCCGAGCCGGGCTGTCACCTGGACGCCCGCCGGCGGAGGGGCGGCGCGCGGGGTCGGGCGGGGAGGCGGGCCCTGGCGGCGGGCGCGGGCCGGGGGGCGGGGCGCGGGCCGGGGGGCGGGGGCCGGCGCCCCGCGGGGAGGCCGGCCACGTGACGCCTGCAGCCCCGGCCGCGCCACCAGGCGGGGAGCGCAGCGGCGGCCCCAGGAGGTGGCGGCGGGCGCGCGAGCCCGGGCCGCGCGGGACTAGCCGTCGGGGCCCCGGGACGGCGGCCCCGGGGGCGCCCATGCCATGGAGAAGCTGGCGGCCGGGCTGGCCGGCCTGCGCTGGAGCATGGGCGCCTTCCCGCTCGACCTCATCGTCAGCCGCTGCCGCCTGCCCACGCTCGCCTGCCTCGGGCCAGGTACTGGGGTGCGGGAAGGGGGCTGGGGGTCCGCGGGGCAATCGGGGACTCTCTGGGCAGGTGCTAAGGGGGCCGTGACCATGTGGCCCCTGCCCTCCCGCTCCCGGCTTCGGCCCCGCGCAGCACCCAGCACACCTTCCCTGGAGCCCCAGGGCCCACGAGCCGAGGGGTCCGCTGCCTCCGGGCCCTGCTCACGGGCACCGGGACGGGGATCCGACACAGGGGCGGAGACCAGGCCGGGCCAGGGTTTTCCCGGCCAGCCAGAGCCCGGAGCGCGGCAGAGGCCCCGCGCCCGCCCCGTCGGTGCATCCCTTTCCCTGTAGCCCTCGGACCCCCGCCCGGGCCGCGCCCCCCTCCGTCCCTTTGTCTCCCGCTTCTCCCCTCGATCGTCCCGCATCCCCTTGGGCCTCGGACTGGGTCCTCCCACCGCCGCCACCACCCCGCACCCCGATCGGCCCCTCATGGGACCCTTCTTGTGCTCTCCTTTCGCATCCCGGGAGCGGCCCCCGGCGGGCCAGCCACCTCGGGGGGAGGCCCGAACGATCAGGCCCTCCCGCCGGGCGTGCCCCCAAGTCCCCGGCCCTCCCTCATGTTTTGCCCCACTTCCCAGGGGCCCAGGCTGCTCTGCCGATGGGACCGTGCAAGGGGGCCCGAGAGGGGACGCCTGGAGGCCGCGCGCAGCGAGGGGACCGTTTGGAGGAAAGGGGGGCTGCTTGGCTGGAGGAGGGGCGGGAGCCGGGGCTGGCAGCCAGGCCGGGGGTTTTGTGTGTGAGAAGAATAGGGGTTTGGCCCGCGTTGGCACACTCGCTTCCCTGAATGCTAATGGGGCCCGCGGCCACAGGCTCCGCTCCTCTCCTCTCCACGGGGCCGCAGCCCCTCCTCCGACCCGCGGCGGGGAGGAATGGGCACAGTGAGCCGCAGCGTGGCCCTCGACCCAGCGGGCTCCGTGGCAGTTTCAGAGCCAGGGCCGTCGGGCAGGAGTGCTCAGTCTTGCTCTCCAGATCCTCAGGCTGTCCGTGTCCGCATCGGCGCTGTCCGCCTCTGGTGTGAACGCGAGAAGCCGGCCCTAGGTGCCGCCTGGCCACTTCCACACATCCTCTTTGGCATCTCCCCTTCCTGGGGGTCCTTTCTGAGCTCCCCAGTCTGAGCAGGCCTCCTTCGGGCTCCCAGGACCCGTCTGGCACCCCTGAATCCGTACACCCGTCTTTATAGTTTATTGTCTTCTCACTGGGCTCCTTGAAGGAGGACACCCTGCTTAGCAAAGATTATGGACTCACTGAGGGACTGGATGAGTGATTGGACAACTGATGTGATGGCCCGGCCGTCTGTCTGTCTGTCTGTCTGTCTGTGACAGTGGTGGCTATGGCTGTGGTTGCTGTGAGTGCGAATATGTGAACAAAAGTGTGTCTTTAGTCTTAAAGGTCCGTGTACCTCTGTGCATTTGGGAGGGGCTCCTTAGTTGGGACCATGGGACTGAGTTGTGTCCGTGGGGTGACAAGGTCCTGCCACTAGGCCAGGTGGCTGTGCTGGCTCAACTGTGGGAGGCCGTGGCCCATAGCTGTCGTGTGTGATGTGTGCCCTGGGCCATCGTGAGGAGTTGCAGAGCAGGAGAGCTTCGTCTGCCCCAGGGCATGAGGGCTTGAGGAAAGCCGGACCCCCTCCCACGCAGTGGGGGCCAGCCCTCCCCCCCCCAAAGGCCTGAGCACATCCTCCCCACACACTTCAGGGGGCCCTCAGTCATCCGGATAATCAGGAGAAGCCACTTCCCATTTGGGTGGGTGGCAGCAGCTTGTGCGCTGTGTCTGGAAGGGCCGGGAAGGAGGCGCCCCCCACCTCCTCCCTGCCCACCAGCTGCAGCCAGGAGACCAGGGCCCCCTGGCCGCTGCGCCAGCCCCTCCTGCTCCCCTGGAAACCGTTGCTGGGGTTGGAGCCTCCTGGGCCCGGGCCCCTCCCAACACCTCTGCCCTAGTGCAGCTTCCTCCAGAACTAGGCTCCCCTTTGGAGCTCCCCCCCAACCCCCCCGCCCCACCTCATCCCTGTGTTCCAGGGACCGGGAGGGTGAAGGGCTGACAGAGGGAGAGCCAAGAAACCGCTTCTCTGAGAGGGGCTGGGGGTATCTGAGGCTTTGTCCCCTCTCCTTTGAGGTCCCCTGAATGCCGAGACTCCTGTGGCTGTCCAAGGGGGGAGGGGCTCAAGCAGGGACCCACAGCCCATAGCCCTGTCTGTGCCCCCAGCAAGGCCCTCCTCGCGTGGCTTAGGCACTGACTCGGGGCTGCGAATTCTGCTGCTGGTCCTGACGCCCAGCTCCAGTGTCTGCTCAGGGAAGACCTCACCTGGTCTGCTGCTCCCCTCTGGGGACCCCAGGCACCCTCCCCTCAGCACCTCAGCTGTGGCCTGTTTTGTGGGTTCACATCTCTTCCCACCTCCTCATGGGCCCAAGTGCTCTGGGAGGGCAGGGCCCCTGGCTCGCAGCGCAGGGCCTGGGCCCGCAGGTCACCCGGGGAGTGGGGACAGAAGGGCTGTGGCTGGGGTGGTTGCTGGGAGCCCGAGCATGACTCCCAGCCCTGAGGCCGCAGCTGGCAGCCCGCCCCGCCCGTCCCCCGAGCGAGCATTGTTGACCTGGGCAGGGATCATGGGGAGCCATCCTGGTCAGGGTCTTGGAGAAGATGTTAGCCTCCCTCGTCCCACCTAATGTGCACTTTACCTTTCCTTCCTCCTCCGTCCTTTGCCTCGCAGGGGAGTATGCTGAGGGTGTCAGTGAGAGAGACATCCTGCTCATTCACTCCTGCCGCCAGTGGACAACGGTGACCGCCCATACCCTGGAGGAGGGCCACTACGTCATCGGACCCAAGATTGACATCCCCCTGCAGTACCCAGGTGTGCCCAGCCAGGGACAGATGACCTAGAGCCGCTGAGGGGGTGTGGGCAGGAGGCCAGGGGGCAGGCCCCGCGGGAGCCACACGGATGCATGAGGATGTGGCTGGCAGGGTGGCGGTTAGGGTTCAGGCCCAGCGGTTTTCATACCGTTTCTGGGGAGTCCTGGGTTTCTGGTTGCAAAATTTTGATTCACTATTTTATTTTATTTTTAATGTTTATTTTTGAGAGGGAGAGAGAAAGACAGACAGAGAGAGAGAGAGGAGACAGAGCTTGAGTGGGGGAGGGGCAGAGAGAGAGGGAGACACAGACTCTGAAGCAGGTTCCAGGCTCTGAGCTGTCAGCACAGAGGCTTGAACCCACAGACTGTGAGATCATGACCTGAGCTGGAGTCGGCCGCTTAACTGACTGAGCCACCCAGGTGCCCCACTCACATTTTATTTTAAACTAATGATCTAAAAATTACTCCTGCTCTCAAATTGCTGCAAATCAAACCTGAACCCTAACTAGAGGCCCTGGGTGTGTGCTGTGAGCTGCCTCGTTAAGGCTTTTTCCGTACAGACCTTCAAGGAGAACGTCTCGTGCTGGGGTCTTCTCAGCGGCTGGTGTGCAACCAAAGTTCTTCAGAAACACAGGGCCACTCAGGCTGATGCTAGAACTCGTCCGTTTTCTCTCCTGATTTTCCCAATTTTGTGTGAAACTCATTGTTTCCACGGATTGGCTTTGTCAGTGAATGTGAAAACTTTAGACTTAAGTAAGATAACAGATAAAAGTAAAGTTCATTAGCATTATCTATATGTTACGTACGATTTTGTTTGAAGAAAGGATTCTGCTGAAAAGCCCAGCCCTTGTATTTTACACATGCTAAAACAGAGGCTTTAGGAGACGAGTGACTTGCCCAGGGTCACACAGCTAGTAAAGCAGCAGAGCGAGGGCTAGAACCCAGGGGACCGGGCTCCTGGGCTGACGCTTGCTTGTACCACACCAGCAATGCAGGGTTCTTGTCACCTGGGTGGGAAGGATGGGAATCTGGTGGCCCCTCCCAGGGCTGCCCCCATGCGCCGAGGATCCCACTGCGCCTGCGTGTTAAACACACGCTGCCCTCCAGATGCGGAGCTGAGCATTTCACCGTGGCCTCCTGGCGGCTGCCCTGTGAGAAAGTCTTACCAGCTCCATCTAGCTCACAGGCTGAGACTCTGGGGGCCTCGGTAGCTCGCCCAGTTCCGTGTCTGTAACCTCGAGTCCCTCCTGGGTACTGCGGTCCCCAGCCCTTCCTGGGTCTCCGCTGAGCCAGGGGGCCAGGACTACGGCCTCTGCTCTTTACAACAATCCTGTGAAGTTGGTGCCCTGCAGCTCTCACACCTCGTTTAAAGGATGAGGAAACTCTGATGTCTTTCTGACCTGGGGTTATGTCCTGAGCCTGGAGCCCTTGAAAGGCCTGCTTAGCAGTTAGCAACTTCCCGGCCTGGGTGTCTGGTATTGGCCCAGGAAGAGGCCCCAGGTCTTCTTGGGATTTAAAAAAAACCAAAAAACAAAATACCAAAAGATTGGAAAAAGCCCTCACTGACAGAAGTGTGACTTTACTGTCCCATTTCAGCTGTGTTATTAAACATCTGGGAAACAAAAGCACAGAGCCTCCTAGGGAAGATTGAGTGCTGGAGGCTTCTGGCCCTTTCCCTGATGCAATCTTCTGGTGTCCCCGAGTGCATGTGGACGGTGTGGTCATGGGGCGACAGCTGGCCTGCCCGGGAGTTGCATCCCTATCCGCATCTTTCCGGTGGGCGGCTAGGTGGCCCTAGTGGGGGAGGGGAGGCCAGGCCCCCAAGGAGTGGGAGGCTGGGGAGTTCGAGGCCCAGCGCTAGTTCCTCCTAATGAATTAATAATAGAGTGGGCGGGGGCAGCGGCGAGACCCGGAGAGCCTCCGGGCAGGCGGGGGAGGGGAGCGCAGCCCAGCTGCCCGGGGACTCCGGGGACCTGGCTGCTCTGAGCCGGTCCCCACTGCCCCGCACGAGGGGCCAGGTGGCTCAGGTCAGCGTTGGCCGGCACTCTGGAAGCTAAGCCGTGTGCTTCCATTTCACAGATGGGAAAACTGAAGCCCGGAGACATTAAATAATTCGCCCAAGGTCACACGGCTGGTTGGTGCCAGAGATGGGATTCAACTAGGTCTGTCCGACCCCCAAGTCCGTACATTTACACACCAGTGTTTAGGGAACTGCTGCCAGGGTCGGGTGCTAAGAGGAGGGGAGACTGCTTCGGCTGGAAGGGATGCAAATGTGACCTAGGAGGGAAAGGGCAGGCTGGGGTGGGGCAGGTCCCTAGGGCGCGCGGCGGGGGAGGGGTCCGGGAGTCTCACTACGCGGGAGGCAGGAGAGGAAGCTGCCGGGGGGGGGGGGGGGGGGGGGGGGGGGGGGGGGGGGGGGGGGGGGGGGGGGCGCGAAGGCTTCCAGGGGCTAGCGCATCGCTCCCGGGGGGTCTCCCTTCCTTCCGCCCGCGGTAATGACCGGTTCTGGGCGCGCGCTGCGGCGGAGGGGGTGGTGCTGGCTGCCATGGTTACATCGATCCGCCGGCCACATCCTCTCCCGGCTGCAGCCCTGACTCGGCTCCAGCTCTCCCCACAGCGGGCAGTGGGCGCCTCTCCCCGCTTGGCTGCTTGTGGTCTGGGGGCTTGTGAGTGCGGGGGAGGAGGCCGCGGGAAGGAGGGGTGGCACCCGCGGTGGGCTGGTGGCCGATGTGCAGCCCCTCTGCCTGACCCCCAGACCCCCGTTCCTTGCCAGGCGCCTCCCCAGTTTCTCTGTGCTGCCGTCTCCGCTTTCTCCTGGGCACATTCCCATCCCTTTCTCGGCTTCACTTCTGTCTGGCCTCTCCGTGCTGATGGGCCCTTCGTTCTTCATTCTCAGCATGTTGGGGGCAGGGGGTGCCCTCAGTCTGGGATTCTGGCTGGGTTTTGGGGGCTCCAGGACCCCCATACTGTATACAGAGGTAGTGTTCGTGTTGATGCCAGGAGTACACTATGGGCATTTTTCTGGGAAGAGAGTTCCCAAAGGCTTAAGACCCACCCTAGCTGAAGACCCACCTGTGGGCTGGTGACCTTCAGTCTGTATCTCTGACCTCAAGCCCTGTACCCCTTGCTCACCCCCCACCCCCAAGGAGGCCCCCCTGGAGGGCCTCACTTGGCCTCCTAAGGACTGGCTCCAGCCCCACATGTTACTTGCGGGTTCCCAGTTTTGGCCAGCAGTCTGCCTGCCCCATGTCTTTTTGTTTGGTTGGCTGGTTGGTTTTTATAGTGTCAAGTTTTTATTTAAATTTCAGTTAGGTAACATACACTATATGGTCTATTTGATTTCGCTATTTCCCATTCTTGCAGAATGGCCTCCCTGCTTTCTTTACAGAAGCTCAACTTGGAGCTTGGCATTTCCTTGCCTGAAACACTGCAATTGCTTTCATTTCTTTTTTCTTTTCATTTCCTTTTTTGGGTTGTCAAATGATCCTTTAATGAAATATTTTCCTTTGTAGTTTCTTAACTAGCTGGGCATTCCACTGCACCACATCACAGAGGATGTCATGAAGGTGGCAGCCTACAGACTAGGCAGTCCCCAAGATTTCTTTAATGATTCCAGAGAGTTCTCTAGCTAAGGATCCATGCTGCTTTTGTTGTGCAATGTTGACCGTTTCGTCAAAAGTGATACTTGCACTGTGCGTCACATTTTTCTGCTTCTCTCTGTGTCTTGGTGATTCCTTGAGGGCTTTGATGATCAGAGCATGGACAGAATGAAGGTCCCACTTCAGCCTGGGCCTGTTTGTTCTGAATGGTCAGTAACAGTGTCCTCCTCAGACTTTTCTGATCACCACTTGTCTTGCTGATGTCCTCACCAACCTTTTTTGGAGACAAACCCAGGGGGCCAATCTTGGGGGCTGGGCAGACATGGCGCTGACTACCCCACTGGTCTACCTTCGGTACATGACTTTGATCTTTTTGGGATCGAACTTAGGTGGCCTGGTGGAGGGGGCTGGTGTCAGATGAGTCTGGACTCAGGACCATGGAAGAAAGTGGCACCTTGGCTTCGTCTGAGCTGAAAGCCAAAAGCTCATTTCTTACTGAGTAAAGTCCTTCTGTCTTAACCTGGCATTTAGAGCCTGTCATAACCTGGTTGCTACTTCACATGCTGTTGGCACCTTCAAGTCCTGGGCACAGGCACTCACCATTTCGGGCAGGCAATCTGCTCTTATGACTCTCGTTTAAAAAAATCTTTTTAAGTTTATTTATTTATTTTGAGAGAGAGAGCAGAGGAGGAGCAGAGAGAGAGGGAGAGAGAGAATCCCAAGCAGGCTCCACACTATCAGCATGGAGCCCGACACAGGGCTCAAATTCACGAACCGTGAGATCGTGACCTGAGCCTTACCCTAGTGAGCCACCCAGGCATCCCGGTGACTCTGTCTTGTTGGTACCATTTCTTCCCTGTAGACTGTCTGTTCTGTAAAACTTTTTTTTTTTAACACTTATTTTTTTTATTTTGAGAGAGAAAGAGATCACAAGCGGAAGAGGGGCAAGAGAGAGGGGGAGAGAAAGAATCCTAAGCAGACTCCACAGTGGGGAGCCTGATGTGGGGCTCGACCTCACCGCTGTGAGATCATGACTTGAGCCGAAATTAAGAGTCAGACGCTTAACCGACTGAGCCCCCCAGGTGCCCCTGTAAAACTCCTTTCGTTCTTTAAAAAAATTTTTTAAATGTTTTATTTATTTCTGTGAGAGACAGAGAGAGAAAGAGAGGGGCAGGGTGAGCAGAGGAGGGTCAGAGAGAGAGGGAGACACAGAATCTGAAGCAGGCTCCAGGCTCTGAGCTGTCAGCACAGAGCCCGATGCGGGGCTCGAACCCACAAACCGTGGGTTCTCCTCTTAAAGTCTGTGCCTGCTGGGGGCATCTGCTGGGCCAGCTAAATAGCCCTCGACTGCAGGTTAGGAAGGCCTCGTCCGAGGGAGGGGGAGGTGATTTTGCTGGGCTCGGGTCAGAGGTCTCAGGGATGTTGGAACAGCGCAGGGTCTGGGAACAGAGCTGGAGTCCTGGGGCCTCCAAGCCGAGGGTCCGCCAAGTGCGTCGGGATGGATCAGCAACCCAAGGTATGTGCTTTGGATGCCAGATCCAGACAGGACCCCAAATTGTCAGCTCCAGCGCCCTCAGAGGAGGACCCTGAGAGGGGAAGGGACTTGTCTAGGGTCACAGCAAGTCAGAGTGGGGCTGGGACAAAGCTAGGAGCCAGCATCTCCGGTGCCACACGAATGCTTGCTTGGAGGCCAGTTCCGTATGCAAGTGTTTGGCTGCCGATTCGCATTTAGATCTCTCTGGGCAGGAGGCTGCTAACGTCCTCGGGCACCCACGAGCTCTCCGTGGGGGTCTAGTTGCGGGGCCTGTGCTCACCTTCCCTCCCTGAGCCTGCTGACCAGCCCCTTCCACCTCAGGCTGATGCAAAGCTGCCTCCCTGCCCGGCTGAGTTCCGGAGGGGCTGGCCCAGGTGAGGGTAGCAAGAAGTGGGGACCGGCAGGCAGGCCTCCCCTAGCAGCCTGTGTTCCTCCTTTGTAGGGAAGTTCAAGCTCCTGGAGCAGGCCCGGGATGTGCGGGAGCCAGTGAGGTACTTCAGCAGTGTGGAGGAGGTGGCCAGCGTCTTCCCTGACCGCATCTTTGTGATGGAAGCTATCACCTTCAGTGTCAAGGTCAGTCCTTGCCACACCAGGCCTGGCGCCCCCACACTGGTTGGAGGGTCGTCCTTAAGGTCCGGGAGGCAGAAGGTGTCACTGTGGTTTCTGGCAGTCCCTTGAGGGCCTCGGGCCATGTCAGAAGAGCTAGGTGTATGACCCACTGGCCTGCAGAACTTTCTAGAAGAGGTGGTGAAGTGTGTGTGGAGGGCCCTGCCCTGACTTGGAGATCCTCAGGGCAGCCTGTCCTAGCGGCCACCAGAAGGGAGAGTGGTTGTTGGGGGCACACAGTACCAACCCCCCCCTCCCCACTTGTGTACAAATGGTTCTTTTCTGTTTACAAACCCTTATCCTTCAATTCATTCCTCTTCACCGTTGCCTTGAGTGGATGGAGTATTCCTGTCCAGACCGTAGAGGCAATGATCGTAACAGATGCCATTTCCTGGGTATTTTAAAAGTATGTCACACCGACATGCAGCAATTCTTCCAAGTAAGAGTTAGCACGTGAGGCAACTCGGGCCCCGGAAATGGCTCATTTAAGGTCGCACGGCTGCTGCGTGGCCTCTCCGGGAGGGAAGGGGGTCCCCTGACCCCGCAGTCCAGAGCTCTTGATCGGGTCTCAGCCTGGGAAAGGCTCCCGGGGCGGTGGGGGCGTGGGAGTGTGCCTCAAAGGTCGGCTTTGCCTGGGGCACCCCTGAAGCCTCGACGCCCGGTTTCTGGGATCCGCAGGTGGTGTCGGGCGAGTTCAGCGAGGACAGCGAGGTGTACAACTTCACGCTGCACGCGGGCGACGAGCTCACCCTCATGGGCCAGGCGGAGATCCTGTGCGCCAAGACCACCAAGGAGCGCTCGCGCTTCACCACGCTGCTGCGCAAGCTGGGCCGCGCCGGGGCGCTGGCCGGGGTGGGAGGCGGCGGCCCCGGGGGTGCGGGCGCCGCGGGGAGCGGCGGCGGGGGCGGCGCCAGGCCCATCAAGGGCAAGATGCCCTGCCTCATCTGCATGAACCACCGCACCAACGAGAGCCTGAGCCTGCCCTTCCAGTGCCAGGGCCGCTTCAGCACGCGCAGCCCGCTGGAGCTGCAGATGCAGGAGGGCGAGCACACGGTGCGCGCCATCATTGAGCGCGTACGGCTCCCCGTGAACGTGCTGGTGCCCAGCCGGCCGCCGCGCAACCCCTACGACCTGCACCCGGTGCGGGAGGGCCACTGCTACAAACTGGTCAGCATCATCTCCAAGACCGTGGTGCTGGGGCTGGCGCTACGCCGCGAGGGCCCGGCGCCGTTGCACTTCCTGCTGCTCACCGACACGCCGCGCTTCGCGCTGCCTCAGGGCCTGCTGGCCGGGGACCCGCGCGTGGAGCGCCTGGTGCGCGACAGCGCCTCCTACTGCCGCGAGCGCTTCGACCCCGACGAGTACTCCACCGCCGTGCGCGAGGCGCCCGCCGAGCTGGCCGACGACTGCGCCAGCCCGCGCCGCGCGCGCCTCTGCTTGCCCGCGCCCCCGCGCGCCCCCGCGCCTGCGCGCACGCCGGCCCCGCCAGGCGACGGCGAGCAGGAGTACGTGAGCCCCGACTGGGCGGGCACCTCGGAGCCTGGCGCGCCGCCCGCCGAGATCCCCTACGAGGAGCTGTGGACGCACCAGGCTGTCGAGGGCCTCGCCGAGGGCCGGACCCGGCCGCCACCCGGGCCGGACCTCATCTCCTTCGGGGCCGCGGGGCCGCCCCGCCTGGAGCCGGAGGCGCCGCCGCCTCCAGTCCCTCCCAAGTCTGAGGCGGTGAGTGGCCGTGGTGTAGGCGGGAAGGGTGGGAGGCAGGGAGCGGAGCTGGGGGGCGGGGAGCGGTTCTCTGCTCCAGGGAGGTGGCCGGCCAGAAGCAAGTTCTCCTGCGCCGCGCGTTGCTCAGCCTCCAGCCCCTGGAATATGGGACAGAAGGTGTCCCAGGGGTGGGAGGAGAGAATGGGAAGGATGCTGGGGCATTTGTAGTAAGGGATATGGGGGATGGTGGCACTGGGAGTTCTCCAGACAAGGATGCTAGCGGGTCTCTGGCTTGAGAGAGTTTGGGGATGAGCTCAGAAGGCTCCACAGAACAGGAGCCCTTTAAGTTGTCCAGTGAAAAGAAGGTCCCATAGTGGAATAAGTTTACAAAATGTAGTGGATGACTCCTAATCCACCCCCTCCTCACCGTTGGAACCACAGAACACTGGTTCATTAAAGGCTCTGAGAAGTCCTGCACTAAGGAGCCCTATCTGCATATCGCAGAATTTTGCAACCACACTGGTCCACAGAAACGGACTTTGGCTGTTAACATCCCAGGGAGTACACTTGGAGTATATGACCTGTAAGGAAGGGATCTACATGGCCGATGGCCCTTTCTTCTCCCTGTCACACTATTTTCTTCCTCTCCTTTCCCTGGAGGAGGGACTAGGTCTACTTATCTGTTCTGGATCTCCTTATATGTATATTCTTACATTCGTGATGGATTTCCAAGGCCATAGGAGATGGCGCATGTGTCGTGGGCTCTCTTGGAGTGAAACAGGCTGGAGAGACCTAGAGGGCTGGGGTGGGTGAATGCAGAGGTGAGTGAGGCGGAGGCAGCCTCTTGGCAAAGTGGGGCAGTGTCCATCCCAGACACCCTCCTTGCCCAGCTGCTGGGGAAAGGGGAGGTAAGGGGCGGCCCACTGCTTGGGGACAGGACCTGGAGTCTCGGCCCTCTGCCTGCAGGTGAAGGAGGAATGCCGCCTGCTCAACGCCCCACCTGTGCCTCCCCGGGGTGGCAGCGGCAGCGGCCGGCCCTCGGGCAGCCCCCCGGTGCCCCCACGCTTCCCCAAGCTGCAGCCCATCCACTCCCCCAGCTCCAGCCTCTCCTACTACTCCTCTGGCCTCCAGGATGGGTGAGCCCCTTCCTTCTTGTGGTGCTGGGTCCTCCCGAAGGGGCCTGGGGAGGGGAGCCAGTGCTGAGGAAGAGTCCGGGCCCGGGGGTTCGGAGGGCCTCCGTTCCTGAGCTGTGCCGGAGCTCGAGGGCGCTGGGGCCACACTTTGCTTTCCACCTTCCCGCTTCAGTTTGTTCCTTTCCAAACTGGTGACGGCTGGGTGGGGACACAGCCTGGGATCTGCCATGGGATGGAGTGCTCCTTGCCATGTGAATACTTTCATCTCATTTGGCCTAGTTTCACTTTTCCTGGGGCAGGAGAGGCTGGAAGAGAGCCGAGGGCAGTCCCAGGCGGTCTCAGGCCTTGGGGGCTGGGGTGCGAGCCGGCCTTGCTGGGGTCAGAGTGGCGGTCTCTGACCTGGCAGGGCGGTTTCCGTGTGTCTCTCTGCCCGCAGGGTGGCCCCCCGCAGTGGCAGCGGCTCACCGTCACCAGATGCCTACTCTCTTTACTGCTACCCGTGCACCTGGGGAGACTGCAAGGCCGCCGAGTCCTCGGGCCGCCCGCCCCCGGGCCCCCTACCCTCTACCACGCAGCCCAGCCAGGCCGCCCGGGCCCTTGCTGAGCCCCTGAGCAGTCGGGCTGCCTCCCTCTTGGGGACCGACACCCCGGTCAAGGCGTACCACGGCTGCCCACCTCTGTTCAAGGCCTCTCACCCACAGAAACGCTTTGCTCCGTTCGGGGCTCTCAACCCCTTTTCAGGACCTGCCTACCCCTCAGGCCCTTCCGTGGCCGCCTCTTCTGGGCCCACAGCCACCTCGAGCCCCCTGGCTACCTCCAGCCCTGCTTTTCCCCCAGGCCCAGGCTCACCGGGCCAGGCCTGCGCAGCTGCTCCCACCTCCTGTGCCACCTCCTCCTCCTCCTCTTCTGAGTGGCAGGAACCAGCCCTGGAGCCCTTCGATCCCTTTGAGCTGGGCCAGGCCAGCTCCCCAGAGCCTGAGCTGCTGCGCTGTCAGGAGCCCAGAGCTGTGGGGGCACCTGGGCCTGGACCCTGCCTTTCGCCACTTGGACCTTCCAAGGCCTTTGAACCAGAAGGTTTGGTGCTGCGGCAGGTCCCCACTCCATTGTCACCAGTGGCCCTGCAGGGACCTGAGGCAGGCGGCGCACGGCTCGTTCTTGCCCAAGGGCGCCTGGAAGGGCCTCCTGCCAGTCCCCGGGAGGGGGCCGCAGGCTGGGGGGGCCGCGATGCCTCCCCTTGGCAGCCCCCTGCTGACCTGTCTGCACTCTCCCTGGAAGAAGTCTCCCGAAGTCTGCGTTTCATTGGGCTCTCGGAGGACGTGGTGAGCTTCTTTGCCAGAGAGCGCATTGACGGCAGCATCTTCGTGCAGCTCAGCGAGGACATCCTGGCCGAGGACTTCCACCTCACCAAGCTGCAGGTCAAGAAGATCATGCAGTTCATCAAAGGCTGGCGGCCCAAGATCTGATGTTCCCCGCTTGTAGCGGCACAACCGGAAAGCTGGCGCGGAGGCCGGGGGGGGCGGGGGAGCCCTGGGTCTGTGGGGGGCCCGCCTCTAAGGGGGATCTGTGCCGAGACTGAGGCAGCGAGGCAGCCCCTCAGACTGAATCCAGGGGGACACACTTGGAAGTGGGTGCTCTGGGGTCGGACCCCTGCATGGGCACATCTGGCCCTTGAGTGTGCAGAGTCCGTGGGGAGGAGGCTGGAGGCACCGGTGCACGCCTGGGCCCAGGGACGCGCTGCTGTGATGCCCCTGGAGGAGGGGCTGCCTAACATCTTCCCGTGTCCTCGTGAAGAACTTCACAGACCTCTTGCACTTCTTACACTTGTAGGTTCAGGTTAGAGACCAGGGAAGAAGATGGCCCGTAACTTCAGCACAAACTCGCCAAGTGCCCTCTCTCCTCTGTGCTCTGTGGGCGTTTGGCCTAAGCTGCCCCGGAGCCTGGGTGCCATTTCTGGGTCTCTGGGCCGCCCTCCTTCCCCCGTCTGTGAATCAGGGCCCTGGCCTCGAGCGCAGGTGCCTCGAGGACCCCAGCCGTTGCGGGTGAAGACTCTGGACGAGAACAGCTCTGCTGCTGACCTGCTCATTAGGGAGCCAGACGTTCCCTTGGCGTCTTGAGTGCCCCGGCCTCTGCCGTCCGTCCTGCCAGGCTGGGTCCGGTCTGCGACAATTCTCACTCAGTGGAAGAGCAGGTAGACTTAGGTCACCTGCTCCTGGACTCGGGAGGCAAGTGGCCTTCGGTCACTGCCACTCCCTCCCGTCTACTGCACACGTCGTTTGATTGTGGCACACACGGTGTCCTCTCGCTCCCTGCGGCCGGCACAGGTGGGGAGAAGGCACGGTGGTTCGGGCAGACCTGCTTGTTGCCCGCCCCTGGAGCTCAGGCGCCCTGCACTTGCTCATACGCCTCACAGCAGGCCCTTGTCCCCTGGGTCCTGGGCACGATGACCTGCACGGCGCCCGGGGGTGGGCCGTTGTGTACAAGCACCCACCCGCCCCCCGGGCTCTCGCACTCGGAACCGCACTAACTCCTCCTGCCACTGGTGTCAGGCCTCAGGCGTACCAGCCTTCTCTCCTGCCTTACCTAGCATCCTAGATATTTATTGCCTCTGTTTCTCTCTTAAGAGTAGCGAAGCCATGCTGGGGCTCGGGCCTCGAGCTGACACCCCGGCTCCAGGGCAAGGGGAGCCAGGGAGCAGGGCACACACGCTATGACGCCGAAACATCTGGTCCCCTTGCCGGTCACTTAGGGAATCCTCGAGGCCTAGTGAAATAAACGCTAGAGCACCGGACAGTGGTGCAGGTGGAATGCTCGGTGTCAGCGGCTCTCTTCTGGGCCACGGGGAACGACAGGTACAACGTGTAGGCCTCTAGGCAGAAGCCCCTGGAATGGGTGTGCCTATGCCCCACTCCTGGGTGAGATCTCTTCTCAAAGCCTGTCATCAGCCCTTACCCTGCAAGAACCTTCCAACTCCTACCAAAGTTTCAGCATCATTGCTACTTTCCAGTGCTCCTGAGTGGAAAACTCCAGTTCACCAGCCAGACCCCAAGTTTAAGTTCCCACGCTGGCCAAGTGCCTGCCTGAGACGCTCCCAGAGCCCCATTTAGAAGCCCGTTAATGGCTCTGGTGTGAGGACCCGTTCTCTACCTTCTGGTCACCTGAGAACGCCTAGCACAGAGATGACTTGGTTTTAGAGTCTGGCTCTGTGGCAACCAACCATGAGTAGACCGTCAAGCTGGAGCGAAGCCCCTGGGGACCAGGAGGGTGTCTGGAGTCCTGCTGCTGGGGCGGAGGCAGGAGCGATGGGTGCGACACGGTGTGACCTGTTAGGATTCTGCGCACAAGCGGTGCGGGTCCTTCTGGCAGGCTGGGCGGGAGCCTCAAAGCCGCTTGTGCAGACCCGGTGCTGCTGCTGCCGGAACACGACCGCATGGGCGGCGGGGAGGCTCAGCCTTTCATGTCCTGCTCCCTGCGCTCCTCATCCAACCTCCCTCTCGTGCTTGTGCAGGCAGGTTGGCCAGGAAACCCTCACTCCTGCGCTTCACCCCCACGAGAATGCCCCGAACCACACACACACACAAACTGGGTGACATTGTGCCACGAGGAAATGCAGTTTGGGGCAAGAAGGCTCCCACATGCCTCTAAGCCCCCTGCTTGGTCACTCGTGCCTCTCCCCACGGCAAGCAGATGCCGCCAGAGCAGAAGGGCTTGAAGTCCCCCTTTATCATCAGTCTCTCTCAAGGGGCTGTCTAGAACTCTCCCAGCACGTTCCCACCCCAAGAGCACAAGCCTTTATTCCGGTTCCTTGAAGGAAGGATTTAAACCAGAAGGGCAAAGACAGAAGAAAAGGAGCATGCAGGCGGGCAGAGAAGAGTTGGTTTTTATTGTTACCGTGTATCGGGCTGGGTGCCCTCCCCACCACTGGCCCAGGGGGAGCAGGCAGCAGGATGGTCCCGGAGACCCTGCCACGGTGAGTGTCAAGGCTCCTGGGTTCATGAGCACAGTGGGTTCCACCTTCTCACATGAAGTGCACACTTAATTCATAGGCAGATTTCACCAGGAGGGAGAGACCGAGCTGAAGGCACTTTGATCAGGGCTCACCCCAATGCCAGAGTTTGTTTTCCCTCTGGTTCCTGATAAACCTAGATGCCACTCGCCTGGAGCCAGTGCTGCCGGCAGCCGTGTCACTGCCGGGGAGCGGGGTGTGAGGGCCTGTCACTGGTAGAACTTCTTGTGAGGGCTGTTAGCATGGTCAACGAGCAGCTGGCATGGGGTGAACTGTTTTCCGTAGGCAGCCTCGTACTTCCTGAGCCGGTCCAGGATCTTCTGAGCACCGTGCAGATCCACGTAGCGGAAGGGCCCTAAATGGAAAAACAGGACTTTGTTGAAGGAGACAGCGAAACGAGCTCTGGGGTAGAACAAGCTGCTTTCCCAACTTGGCGAGACCAACCTCCAAGACACGGGGGAAAGCCGAGTCCAAAGACAGCTCCGATGTCTCCCTCTGCGGGTGTGGCCAGGATCCCTTCCTGCAGGCACATGACGGCCTCATTCACAAATCTCGTCACCAGGCGGTACTGGATGTCTTCGTCAGAGCAGCTGCCGACAGGGAGAGACAGGGAGAGACATTCAGGTAGATGCAGCGTCACGGGAGGGACGCAGAGGCTGCAGGTGCAGAACGGGAAGGAGGGCCGCTGCTGCCCGAGCCCGGTGGGCCAGCCGTACGGAGCTGTCCGTGCTGGAGAGGAGCCGCCGGGAAGCCGGCCTTGCCCTTGGAGCAGAAGGTTGAGCTACTTGCCCAAATTAACCTGAAATTGGCGCTTAGAACAGGGTAGGGCAGGGTGGACAGAATCTCTGGACATCATTAGCCGTCAGTTACAAATGATAAAAAGGTTTTGTGGGGGTGAAAGGGACCCAGGACAATCGTCCTTCGAGTTCTTTCCAGACCTTCAGAGGGAAGGCTGGAGCAGGGGTCTTTCCAAGACTTGGCTGCAGTCCTTACCCTGAAGCTCGGTAGAAAACGAGGAGGCATGTGGAAGGGCAAAAGCACTCTGGCCAGGTAAGGGTTGTACAGCAAAGAAGGTGGAAGAGGGCTGAGAAGCTGAGGCCGAAGAGAAGCACGCTTCCACACTATTAGCTGTTCAAATTAACTCACACATCGGGCTTAGGAGACACCTTCAGACTTGCCAAAATACCATCCATGTCAGAGTTCAAACTCTTACTCTTCACACCCTCCTGGTAGATGTAAAAGCCCTTCCCAGATTTGCGACCTAAAAGAAGCCAGAAAAGGGAGAATTACCAACTCTCAGAGCTCCGGCCTGCGGATGCTCTTCTTGGCTAGTGTGCTGTAAACCTCTAACCTCTCGAGCGTCCTGACCTGTCTGGCTGGCTAGCCCTAGAAATTTGGGGTTCGTCAGCAGAGAAGGGAAAATGACCTTGTGTTTCCTGGAGCTTGGAAATCTGTGTATGTGGATGAGAAAGGCCACTTGGATCAGCTTTAAAGTCCAGATACGCAACCCCAGGCCCTAGTATGCCGTGGTCCTGGTGTTGGTTTTGCTGCTTTGCCAAGAGACAGCCACCCCTGCTGGGCCTCCATCACATACTCTGTGTTCAGAGGCGTTACTTTCTCCGCACAGGTGGCCAGACAGCACGGGAAGCCCTGCAGCGTCACAGCTGTGCTAGAGGCCGTGGGCCAGATGCAATCTACAGGCCCAGCCTAAGGGGCGGTCACAAAATCCTTTAAAAAACTCCCCGGCAGTGGGCTGTGTGTTTAGGAAGAACCCTTCCACACAGGCCTCCTGTAACCGTGTGTCTCGGGAAACTAACTAATGGTGTTACATTTCTCTGAGGCTACTCACCTAGGAAGCCCCTGGACACCATCTGCTTCAGCAGTTCTGGGCTTCCACCTTCAAACCGCTCCCCGAAGGCTTTGCCTAGATCTTCTGCTACGTGTTTTGCTACGTCCACGCCAACTTCATCGACCAGTGTGGCAGCACCCACGGGAAAGCCAAAGCTTGTGGTAAGGGAATCCAGCTTCTTAGGGTCAACTCCTTCCTGAATGGGAGGTAAGCAGGGGCCTCAAGGGAAGGCATTCTGGGCCCGCCCACAAGGGCTCCCCGTGCCGACCCTCCCCAGGCTTCTCTCCTGGGCGCCCCTGGCCAGGCCCAGGACTGGGGCTGCCCCACTTGGGGAGGCAAAGGAGGTTTGGGAGCCACCAGGGGGAACATCTGAGCCTTTCCTAACCTACGGCACTTTAAGGAACGAACAAATTCATTTGGAGATGAACACACTGTTCATATCCTTCTTGTTTGCAATTCTGAATCTCTGTGGTAATGAGATTCCGTGGCAGACAGGGCCAAGTTTCCCGTAACTAAGACATGAGGCCTCTGCAGGAGCGGGGCTGCAGAGCCCCCAAGCCGGTGTGTGAGGAGCACCCTGTGAGAAGGTGCCACTGGAGGGGTGTGTGCAGCAGAAGCTGGGCCTGCATGTTCTGGACGGTCCCTGCCT